TGAAAGGGGGGTACTTTATGATGTGGGTAACCTGGGGGGTGGTGGGGAAAGGGGGGTACTTTATGATGTGGGTAACCTGGGGGGTGGTGGGGAAAGGGGGGTACTTTATGATGTGGGTAACCTGGGGGGTGGTGGGGAAAGGGGGGTACTTTATGATGTGGGTAACCTGGGGGGGGGATGTTTTATCACAAATGGTCTGTTCATGAAGATTTTATAACAATCAGTTTAGATGATACATACATAATTCATTTTTAAAATACATATCTGGACTTAGAATATCCGTTAATGGATGATTACTTATAGTTCTTGAAATGTGCAAAAACTGACAGACACTGCAGGCTTAGAGATAAATGTTTAAGTGTATATGAATGGTCATGTTGTTTTATGTTTCAGATTTCTGGAATTGGTTCAGTTAAACGGGTCATCTGAGGATAAGGGGACCTCAGCAGGGCAGGAGGATGCCCAGTACGAGGGAAGTTACGACGCGGAGCTCCAAGCTTTACATGAAACCATACAGCAAAAGGTGCAGATGTTGCTTAGCGACCCTGCAAACATAGTGAAACAGACGCTGATTGAGAACGGAATCACAAAACTTTGTGTTTTCTTTGGAAGGCAGAAAGGTAAGGTGATGATAATATGGTAATAGATAAATAACAGCACCTTACTTAGGCCAGTATTTGATTTTGCCAAGACTAATAAATGTTTCTAAACAAAAAAAAAAAAAAAAGCATGTATCCAGACTTTCCTCCATTTGCTTCTTTCACAGAATAACTCTCAGCGTTCTTTTGAGAAATCTTTCTTAAGTAACTATAGAGACTGATGTGACCATTTATTTTACAGCCAATGACACCTTGCTGTCTCACATGATCACATTTTTGAATGACAAAGTAAGTAACATCAATAATAATGTCATTATTACATTACTAGTATATCAATATTTTACTTTTTAATTTCATAATGGCTGCCAAAAATTAAATTGAACTGCTACATTTCATACAAAAAGAAAATAATTTATTATTAATATTCATATAATAGCATTAATTTTCCTCAGTAGTGTTTGATAAGTCAACTAGAGACATTTTACATACTTTTTAGCTTTGGGTAGTTGAAAGTAAAGATAAAATATCTAATAGCATTCTAGAAGAATTTAACCTGTCTTATTACGGTTTTTATGAAAAGAAAACAATTAAATCAGAAGTAATTAATATTTAGTATGACTGGCAACTGAGAGGAGCCTTCTTCGACTGTATTGTGGGTGTGGCAGCTTATGTTGGATGGCAGAGTTCTTCTATACTGAAACCTCTACTAGAACAGGTAGGTTGACGCCGATGTCAAAAATCTACATATCTATCTAATATGATATAGTGCACAAAACCATCACTTGTTGAAGAGTCTCAAATAAACAATATTACATACTTTAAGCAAACATTGTTTCAGGCAGTATAGTTTATGAATTTGCTCAAATTTCTTAATATTTTATTTGAATGATTGATGTAATATAATTTGTATGAGTTCTCATTCTAGGGTCTAAGTGATATAGAGGAGTTTGTGATTCACAAGGCCCTGGCTGCTGTGACGTCTCTGGTGGAACTGGGGCTAATACAGAAACCAATACTACATGAACTGTTGAAGGAGATTGTTCCCTTTTTGGCACACCCTGTAAGTATTAAAGAAATGCCAGGAATTTTCCTGCCAAGTTTAATTTTCTTGGAGAAATAAGCATATTTCTCTTTCTCTGGAAGCAGTACTCTACCTATCCCTGCATTTAGATTTTATGCTTAATAACATTTTTGATAAAACGAATTTCGTTCTTTAAATTTGATGTTAAAGTAATTTTTTAATAAAATGTATTTCAGTGCTGTGAAAATCTATGTTAAAGTAATATCCATTTTTATATTCAAATTTTAATTGACCATTCAAAACAATATCCACTCTGTTTCCAGAATGACTGGATCAGGTTTGGAGCAGCAGGGGTGATAGCGGCAGTGGCACGCAGCCTTAACATAGCAGATGTTCACTGTCACCTCCTGCCATTGGTACAGCCTTTTCTGCAACAAACCATCATACAGGTGGATAAAGAGGTCAGTTATAATTAGGTCAAGGTCAATGGTAATTGGGTCAGTGACATGTGACAGGAGGTGACATGTAGGTCAGATGAAGGTTACGAAGTGTTGTAAAACAAGTTGTTATAAGTGCTGTATTTGATTGAATAAGGGATTTCTTTTACTTGATTAGGATTACTGAATTCTTATTTTGATTCATATATAAATTCTTCTAAGTATAATTTAAAGCTGTCAAAAATACAGTAACTATTTACATTGAAAAAAAAATCACATCTTCTGTGAGGAGACAGTTCACAGGGAATAGCATTAAACATATATGGTTCCTCACTCTTTTTACTTAGGGCACATTACAATCCAACAGGTAAAATAGAGCGTAGTGACTCTTAGGTAAAAAGTATATCATATTCATCTTATAAGTTTCTCTCCAGGTTGTCTTGATGAATGCTCTACAGGACCCCCTCCCCAGAGCCATCTATGATTATGTCATCAAATCTCCACTGATTGACAAATTTTTTGAGGTGCTGAAGAACAGAAAGATCTCCCGAGACATCACCCGACACGGGTCGCCAAATTACGATGAAATGGATGAAAATTTGAACCAGATGTTCAGAAAATTGTTCTCTCAAGGACTAGGAGACAAAGAGGAGGATAAACTTTTGGTATAATATTGTTGTTTTATGTATAGTATTACAGTTATGCTTCTGGTGTTCCAAATAGTTCATTTGAAGAATTACTTATAGAGCAAGAATAAAACATTTTTTTCTGCAAACAATAGCTTGATATTTAAGTAGTTTACCTCCACTATTTCAATGTCTAACAGAGCATCTTCATCAGGAAATGAGGCTATTTAGGTGAACATTTTTAAATTGTTAAAAAGTTCCATAAATTGATGTGACTTTGTAATGGATTTAAAAAAAAAACTTAATATTTTTCAGTCTATGAAGGATTTTATGCTGAAGATCAACAGAATGAGATCAGGGTAGGTGGGACAGTTGTTTTAAGTTGTGTAATTTTGATATTCAAATCTACTACAAACTCATCTTTAAAGATGCTGAATTTTTTTTTACTTTCAGATTTACTACTAGTTGTTCCTATGTCCGTTTAAATCTAGACTGTACCTAAACTTTTGTATAATTTAAAAGTAGATACATTTTGTGAAGACTGTGTAAAATAGGTCCCAATACTTAGCCCATTTGTATTAAAAAACCTGCTTTTGTTAACCATGTGAAGTCTACACTTCGACAGTGACTATACCCATTGACATACAATCTGATCCTCGTGTTAGATAACAGTATGGAATAGAAAAATGGACACGCAATTTTAGTGTCTCAGTGATATAAAATTTAATTGAGTTTAAAAAATATCTCACTTAAGAATATGTTCTTGCATTAATTTTTCAGCTACTCAGAGTCTGGGAGCAGTTTTGAAGAAGAAACTTTCAAAAGTGGTGTTCTCGACATTTCAAGTCTTGGCAACCTCGTGACACGTCGACATGCAGACATGATCAAACCGGAGCAGAAGGCCGAGTTACAGCTTAACGCCAGCAGGAAAAAGAGTAAAAAACCCACCACCGGAGAAAGCATGACTTCTACCATGGTAGGAAATAAACATGATTATAGAGTTCAATTTTATGTAGATTGTTTCCGAATAATTGCAGTCATGTTTTGTGATTTTTAGGAAGTCCTCACAGGAATGGATTAACAAGTGGAGAGCTTTTCTTTGTTGCCCAGCAACTTTTTAGACTGAACTAAAAATTTTACCTGCCTACTAACAATGTTTTAAAAGTCTCTTACTGGTGTCTCTTCATGGTAGTAAATACCCTGCTGTCACAAACTAATATTTTAATGATACTCACAGATACATTTCAATGTCAATCGGACGTCTTCGTCAGTCTGACATCACTGCAGGTGCCTGGCATCAGATTGCTGGATTGAGATTTTTCAGACTAGCAGGGTTTTCTGACTTTTGTGGAGCCAAAAGTCACAAAAGTCTCATCCCAGAGAGTGACATTGAAAAATATCTGTGTATTTTTTGATACCAATCAACATTACCAAATTGATCAACCTATGTCGACACATCTTGGCTATTTTGTTGTTCCTAGAATGCACAATAAGCATTTTTGTCAAACCAGAAATTTTATCTAGTATATATCTTTCTATGCAGTTATTCCTTGGTGCATCTCAAAACACGACAAAAGTTCAGGTATTGATATTGTAGACATCAGCAGCCATCTCTAAATCCTTGAGACTTTTTCCCATATGCTTTTTTGGAAAAGAGAGAAACACCTTTACATACTTGTATTGTGTGGTTTGATAAAATGCTTGACATCATACCTCTGTTTGCTTGATTATCTTATAAGACTGAATTAAAAAATGCCAGTTTTCCTCTCAATCTTGCTTCAAACTGCTTTTCAAAATTTTCTTTTTTTTACAAAATAGGGGAGTTGAGCATGTAATTTTTTGATACCTTTTTACATTACCTTTGCCAAAGGATTTCAAAAGTTTAGAAAGACTTTATACAGAAACCAACCATTTGTTTTAAAGCTGGCTTGTTAAGTCTCTTTGTAATTATAGAGAAGTCTCTTCTTGATTGAAAAAGGGGAAAATAAGCTGTAACCTTAAAATCTTGTTTAGATAAAAATCTGTCTGCTTGTAGCTTTGTACATGAGAGATTTCCATGTTTTAGGATACAAAGTTGTACTTCCTCTTTTTTATTATCATAATTATATGATTGACTTTATTTCCACTACGTGACATAAAATTAATAAAATCCATTTGATTTGTTCCTTCTTAAATGGCTTCAGCAAAATTGTAACCTTTCAGTTCCTGCAGAGACCTCTATTGTAACATGAGAGAATTGTGGGATAAATCCATTTACAATTTAAAGTGACTGCTTGTTCAAATAAAGAGAATTTGCACATCTGCAAGACATTAGCTATACCCATTAAAACATAAGGTGCAAAGAATTTGAAAATTTGCCCAAAAAGACAACTAATGAGGAGAAATTGCTGTCATATATTTGGATCAGCAAAGCTCAGGGTATTTGTTGAGATAAGACGTGTAAGATTGTTGATATAACATGACATAATTTGATAGCATCTGTCAGTGAATTGTATTTAAACAATTTAAAAGGATGAAGAAATTATATGAAATTTATAACTGCTGTAACTCTATATTCATATATATATATCAGAATGAAGAATGGAAACACATGTTCGGGGCTGCTGAGGAAGACACCAACCCCCAGCTGCCAAAACCAGGAAAACAAAAACAGGAGCTTGGTCTCCCTGAACCGACCCTCACCCACATGACGACGGACCCCAAGATGTCCCCGCTGTGTCAGTCCATGGACCAGAGTCCGAACCAGTCCACCCTGGGGCTGTCCCAGGGGGGGACAGTGGTGGAGGGGGTGCCCCAGAAACCCGTGATGGTGACCAAGAATGAAAAACTGCAGTTACAGAGTGAGTGGTGTAGTTGTTCTCTCTCTCTCTCTCTCTCTCTCTCTCTCTCTCTCTCTCTCTCTCTCTCTCTGTACATGTATTTATAACCATGTATGTGTGCCTTTGCAGATGTACGTGTACATATCAGTGTGTAAAGTGTGTGCATGCGCACCTGTGTGTGTGTGTGTGTTTGTGAGAGAGAGAGAGAGAGAGAGAGAGAGAGAGAGAGAGAAAGAGCCATAAATAACTTTCAACATGTTTCTAATTTGAATTTGAAAAAATAGGCTGAAATATTGATAAATTTATCAAACGTTTAATTTTTAAGGTAAAATTTCACCTTGTAAATTGGAACTCAGAAACCTGGTTTATGAGAAACGTGAGCAGTATTTGCACGACTGTATTACAAGGGAGCTATCAGATAACGCTACCCATGATCCTCGCCCGCCGCCTTCAACATGGCGACCGAAGGGGTTGCTGGTGGCGCATCTCCACGAACATAGAGCAGCAGTGAATAGGTAACTAGGAAGTCATTGAGAGTGCAGACCTTTTTCAATACAGCTCAGGACCCAGTTTCACCAAACAAACTTAAGTCAGTTCCTTGTCTTAGTTGACTAGGATTTCCATGATAGTGCTTTAACCCTGTTCCTGATAGGATAAAATGTGACCATGTAACCTTGGTAATTAGGTTCTTAGCCAGGGAATCTGACTTTAAGTTTTTTTTTGTGATTGTTTATTGGTTAGGTAATTGATTGATCACACTCAAAATCTATTTGATACCGAGTTGGACCATTTCTGACCTTAGTAACCTGAAGTCTCATCAAAATCTTTTCATTTCTTTTTGAGTTAGGCTGATAACTAACAAATGAACAACAGAAAAAACCTTACCCGATGCCACACTTGTTTAAAAACATTTCCTCCATCTTTCCAGAATTCGAGTCAGCGAGGATCACCAGTTGTTTGCAACCTGCTCTAATGACGGCTGTGTTAAATTATGGGATGGAAGTAGAATGGAAGGAAAGAGTGTCACTAATAGATCAAGGCAGACGTACAACAAACAAGGTAGGAAACTAATTTGAAGATTTTGAAGTAGATAGTTCAAGAAGATTTAATATGAATAATATATGTTGTTGTGAGATGGCAACAGAAAAGAAGGAAAGAAGAGTTTTTAATGATAAAGTGATAAAGACACATGCATCAAAATGTTTGAAAAATGGTGGTATATTATTTTAAGAAACATAACTACTTAAATTTCCTTTTCAAGAGTTAGTGACATGGTTATAAATCTTGATCTTTCATCAAACTGTGTGTGTGTGTGTGTGTGTGTGTGTGTGTGTGTGTGTGTGTGTGTGTGTGTGTGTGTGTGTGTGTGTGCACGCGTGCACATGTGTGTGTGTGCGTGTGTATTCGTTATGTATCGAACAAAAATACCATCTAATATGTTCAGGTGGCCAGATCAAATGTTTGTCTTTCTGTGAGAGTTCCCAATCCCTGGCAGCAGGATCTGACAATGGCACAATCCATGTTCTTAGGTAAGTGATGAAGGTCCCTCATTCAGCTTAGTCTTAGTAAATCTTGTTCCAAAAAATTCAACATTAAGTCTGTTAGGAAAATATAATGCAAATCATCTAATGCAAATGAAAGCACAGCACACATACGCTGGCTTATATAAGAAGGAAGAGTTATTGGGTTTCAGACAAATCACCTTTGGTCCAAAAAATGTCTCCTCTGAAGGAAAATTTGATTTAAATATTCTGCCATTTCTTAAGTTGAGTCAGCTAAGGTGGTAAAAAGGCCAATTCATTTTCATTATAACAGTCACAATTGTATCAGTGTAAGTTTGGACACATGGACTGTAATGCTTTTCCTTTCTTCACAGAATTGATCCAGCACACAAAATGTCTGCAGTGTTGTCAGAATCGGTTGATACGGAGGAGCACGGGACTCTGGTGGACATGAATTATTTTGATACTGGTAGGTCTGATGGGGTTGGTTAACTAGAACAGTTTGACATAATACCAGTAGGACAAACTGTGATATATATGATTTACTAGAAGATGGGAGTAGTTTAAATCTCTTTCACAAGCCCTCTTGTGCCAATCAAAATTAATCCTGTTCACTGGTTGCGTCCAGTTTTTTAGGCAACTCTCTTCCATAACAGCCAGGCTGTGAAGTTGTCTATCTCTTAAACTGGTGGACACCTACAGCAATATCATTCTATTTGAAGGGCTGCTCATTTATTTATTGATTCTGATTGTTTGCAAATGTTCTTCTTGAATTTCTGAATAATTTTTCAAGTCATTAATCCAGGTGGGAGGTTCTTGAGATAGCACTGACTTGCAAATGCCTCTACACTTTTAATTATTAATTTTTATAATGCTTATTTTTAAAGTTTCTTGAATTCTTAAAATTTAATTTCAGGCTCCCAGTCGGTATTGGCCTATGCCACAGTCAGTGGTCATATTATAGGATGGGACCTTAGGTCACCCAGGAAAGCATGGACACTAAAGAATGACCCCAGGCATGGTCAGTATAGGTGTCTTAACAACCACTTACTTGGTGTTGTTTACACACTGTTATTGTCACTGTATTAAAGTCATACTGTTACTGTTACAAGGTTGATATCACAATGATGTTGTCACAGTATTTAAGTCAAACTGTTACTGTCACAGGGTTGATATTGTGCTGTTATTGTCACTGTATCAAAGGCCTACTGTTACTAGCGGTTCCAGAGTTGATATCACACTGTTATTGTTACTGTAGTAAAGCCCTACTATTACTGTTCCAGGGTTGATCACATCATTCAGTGTCCATCATCAGCTGGCCTGGCTGGCCTTGGGGACCAGTAATGGCACACACCTCTGCTGGGATATGAGATTTCAACTCCCTATTACTACTGTATTACACCCCACAGGTTGGTAGAGGAGCTAGTGTGAATTAATTAATTAATTAATTAATTAATTAATTAATTAATTAATTTATTTATTTATTTATTTATTTATTTATTTATTTATTTATTTATTTATTTAAATGTATGTTATTTAAATTATTTCATTTTTTTGCTTTTCACTGATGTCACACTACTGGGTGAATCAGAACATCCATTCTCTCAGCTATTATTGCTATTATTGCTATTAATATTACTATTATTATTACTATTATTATTATTATTATTATTATTATTATTATTATTATTATTATTGCAGGTGCCCGTGTGAGAAGAGTGACCCCGTATCCTCTCCACCCCTCCTGGCTGGTGTCAGCAGTACAGGGGAATAATGAGGTGTCATTCTGGGACTTGGAGACTGGTGCCAGACAGAAGACCCTCTGGGCCAGCTCTGCACCTCCACTGTCTACTACTCAGGTTAGTCCCTCTCTCAAGTCAGGTATGCACACATGCATGCTCTCAGACACATGCATGTGCACGTGCGTGCACACACACACACACACACACTCACACACACACACACATTCTCTCTCTCTTTGTTTCTTCTTTGTTTACTGTTTATTCTAGTTTAGCTAACATTTTCTCCATTTTAATGGCTCTTCAGAAAAAAGAATTAATTTTAATGAAGTAAATAACTATATATATTCAATATTATTTGTTCCTCTCCACATCTCCAGACGTCCAGTCACTCAGTGAATGGTCTGTACCTGGGGGTGACAGAGGGAAGTAACTTCCTCCTGACGGCAGGCAGTGACATGAGGGTCAGATACTGGGATCTACAGACTCCCACTAACTCCCACATCGTGTGTGGAGCAGCCAGCGACCCTATCAACCAGCAGACTACTGTCTCCTATGAGTAAGTGGGTGTAGAGTTGAAATATTATGTTAGTTGAGAATTGATACTAGATGTTATTTTGGTGAGAATTGATACTGGATGTACTGTTTGTTGAATATTTTCTTTTACTTCTTCTTATGACATCCACATCCGGGATGTCACATGTCTCCTCCATAGTTCTTTGTCAAACAGCATGTTGAATATGATACTGGACATTTTGTTAGTTGTGTTTATGCGTGATATTGTCAGTTGAGATTTTGTGTTTTAAATATAAATTGTGTTAGTTGACTTTTTTAAAATGTTATGTTTTTTTTTTTTACATTATTCCTCGACAGAAGTTTTTCTAGTTTCAGAGCATTCCACATTTAAATCAAAGACTCTTTATATTTCAGGTCTAAGCTAATAGAGGGCACTGAGGTGCTCCAGGAGAACTACGCCAAGGTGAAAGGGGCAGGCGTGGATGACGTACCACGGCGTAGTCCCGATGCCCCGCCCCAGGGTCATCATGACATTATTACAGACATTAACACATTCCAGACAACACAGTGCTTTATAGTGACCTGCTCCAGGGATGGGGTGGTGAAAGTCTGGAAATAAGCCTCTGATATCTATATTGGAACTTTAAATTTAAGAAATACAATCCTGGTGCAATAATTCTGTGTATTTAGATATTATTTTCAACTAAATTCTGTCATTTTGAGTGACTCGGTATATAACTATGTGCAAGAAAGAAATTGGGAAATTGAAGGGACTGTTGTGCGAATATCTTGTGGAGGAAGACTTTTAAGTTAAAAGTTTTACAAGCTTTTGAGATGAGAAGAACTAACTGCAGTCCTTGCAGGTTTTTTATAGAATAGCATCCCATTTCCATAGATTTTTAGATCGATCTATCCCTGTGGGGAGTCTCACTAGATTACTGTCAGCTTGGCCGGCTTAAGCGTCTGTCCCGCCTGCTAAAAGCTGTAATGGGGTAATTAAATAAGGTGTCCGCTCGGCTGACTGCAATTTAGCCTGAACCCCCAGGGAGTTACGTCGATCTAAAACTTAATCTTTAGATCGATCTAAATCTCTGGGAAAGCACCCATAGATAGCAGAAATTCAGATGAATGTGGCAGAGACTACTCTAGAGAAAGGAGTAGGGTGAAATACATTAACCCTTGTGAATTTTTTGTCATTTGATATCAGTACTTATGAAGGACTTGATTTATAAATAAGAGAAAAAAATTAAATCTGTTCAATAAATGAAATTGTAGCGGAGAGTACAATTGAATTTTAAGAATAAAGTGTGACAGATAATGAAATTATAAGATGTTGTAATCAGCTACTGCCTCGTGGCATGAAGCACAACTGAGTTATTTTAATATTCATTGAAAAATTTATGTGAGGTAGTGAGTCAAAGAATTAATACTCTTACCTTTATTGTACTGATCATGAAATGATCCTATTTGATTTATGAAGTAGTGAGAATGGTGGAACATACCATTTTTAAGAATTCATTTGTGATTTTTCATATTATTTGTTTGTGTTGTTTATTGTTGTTAATATGTTATTTCAGTGCCTAACTGAAATTTTCAAGTATTATTGAAGTAGCAGCAATGAAAAAAAAAAACTTGTAAAATAACACATAATAGAATGTTATTTGCAGAACCTGTACTGCTACTAGTTATTGGTTGTATGATAATGTGTCAGAAAATGTGTAATAAAATTATTTGAGAAATAATCCTCTCTTTTGCGTTTTTTAAAATGACTTTTATTTAAAATAGACCTGTTTAACACCCACATTGGAGATCACATGATATCAACCAACTAAAAAGAAGTAAAAAATATTTTGATTCTCTTGTACATTTTTTATTAAAGATATACACTAAATTTATTTACATAAAATATATATTACTTTACAGAGTACCTCACAAGAGGGGGAAGTTATACAGTTACAAGTAAAATTCATTCAGAGACATGATCCAAAATATTAATATAGATATATATATGAATGGACAGTTTTAAGGTAAGACTTGACTGTGCGATAAGAAATTTGTCACCTTATGATATATGTTATCGGGGTAGAAAGCTCCTGGAATTCATGGAAGAAGGAATCAAGATTTCCCTTAAACATCACTCTGTCAATATTTTTATCAGTTCTTCTTTAGTCATGATACGACTTAATGTCATTTGGCACAACAAAACTGCCTAGTAATTATGCAAAAATACATTGGACATTCAGTTCACTCTCCAAACACATACCACTTTGATGTAGAATTCAGACACTGTGGTGTGTCATGATTTCACTGTTTGTGGTGTGTCATGATTTCAGTTTTCTTTGTTACTTGGGACCAGACTGAACTTGAGTCATTGCTTCAAAGCGCACACATAGAATCAGTTCATTTATCAGACTAGACCTATTTTCCCTTCTTATCTTTTTTCTGTGTCTTTTCTCTGGCGTTTGATAGATCGTACTTAAATCCCTCTTTTCTTGCTGCCGATTCTCGTTTCCGAACAGTTTTCATGACTTTGTGTTGTAGCTCTGATCGAGTAAATGGACGACTTTCCTCATCGCTGGCTTCACTGACCTCACTGTCATATTCATCGCTGTAAAAAAGACAAAAGCCTTGTCAGGATTTGAAAGTCACTATGGTAATTGCTTTACATTATCCAAATGCCTCACCATTTCTTAAGTTTTACTTTTTCAAAATTTATCATTTTCAGACACTGACAATGTATTTTCTGGCACAAAGCCAACTAACTTTTCAAACTTCTGAATGAGCATTTCAAATATTGCTAACAAAACTTTTTGGGAGGAGGAGGCATAAACATAAAATATAACACAAATCTCATATCTTTAATTCATAATCATCATTCTTGATTTTTTTCTCTTATTTTGTTGATGTGACCGAACTGTTTATAAGTCAAAGTCAAACCTATCTTGGAGGAGGAAGGGGGGTGGGGGTGGGGGGGCTAGATCTATAAAATCTGTGACTCACCCAACAGTTGGAGGCACTATATGAGGTTGTTGTGTGGGTGCATCTGGTCCTTCTCCTAACAGACCTGGTGTCTTTGAATCATACTTCGTCTCATCCTGGAGAAATTTAAAAAGAAGAAAAAAATGAATTCTTTCATCAAACATAATGAAGTAATCATGTAAGCCTGCGTATTGGATCCCATATTCAGGCAGCAAATTAAAATTTTCATTACCTTTTGTCTTTGAGCCAAATTAATGTCATAACCATTTCATTCATTTCAAAAATAAATTTCAATAAATGAAATTTTGGTCATAATCATTACAAATGGACGAATTTTAGCCACTGAGAAACATTCAGATTATAAATGCTTGAACACTGCATCTCCATCATTCGCGTTAGCCCTTACCTTAGAGTAGGTAAATGCCTGTACACTCGCGTTAGCCCTTACCTTAGAGTAGGTAAATGCCTGTACAGAGAGCAGCTCATTGGTCCTCTGCTCTATGATGCCCAGGTACTGTAACATGTTGTTATTGGTCACTCCAGACTGAGCTCCCAGCATGTCATCTATAGCTGACCTATCACAGTTGATCTTATTGAACAGAGATTCCACACCTTAGGAAAGAGGAATTAATTTTGATTAGCACTATTATTATCAAATTGAAATTATCATATCATTATATAATTATCAAATTTATTCATAATAAAAGAAGAAAATTCTGTAAAATTATTATTAAAATGTGCAAAGTCACTCTCAAGTTTGTCCCAAGTACTGAGGCCTATACAAATATTTCTTTTCAAAAATTAAAAAACTATTAAAAATTCTAAATATAAATTTTATGTTGGTATGGAATCAAACACCACCCATATCCGGTGCAAAAAATATTGCCCTTCATATTTTCAGCATGTAAGTCATTTTTACCAAAACTAATATATCTACCTGCTTTAAGCTGGTCCAGAATCTTAGATGTGCCTTTATATTTCTCATCATATTCATCTGCACTCTTGGAAGCAGCTGCTTGTCTCTCTTCCAGTTGTTTTAAGATTATTTTACGTTGTTTCTCCATCTCAATGCCCTGTGCCTTGAATTTCTCAATTTCATTCTGAATCTGTGGAGAAAAAAGTGGATATCAGAATTAAAATACTGTCTAGATCAATGTCAGATTACACAAAATCATCACATGAATACTCACTGATACTGAAGGTTAATTCTTACTTTTAAAGAACCTTAAGCTTGTTAGATAAAATAATTTTATGATTATATAAGGTCTCAAAAGAATAAAAAAATTCATTTTCCTCACCTCCTGAATCTGATCCTGTAGCATCTCTGTCTCATTATTCTGTTCGTTGACGTAGTTGAAAAGGGCAAAGTTACGATCCTCCACTTCAATGAACCTGTTAACAAGCAGGTCAATTTCCTCCTCACCAGTGAGCTCGCGAATCCTGCGGAAGGCAGCCTCGTAAGATTCCACAGAGTCCTCCTGGTCTCCTTTCTTACGCTCGTTTTCGAGAGACTCTGCAAAAGGTGAGGCAAAATCATGTTTAAAGAACATACACAGTAACACTTCAAAAAAGATATTAAAACAGAAAAAATACTACAGTAGGTGAAGCCAATTAACATAATTCATAGTTGTATGCCCCCAACAGTAACCAAGATTTTAAGGTGAAATTTTATCATACAATAAAACTAATTTTCAATTTATTACATTTAATTTGGTTGCATTTTGGTTAATTTTGTATATCAAGATAGTGTGGATTTTTTAGCTTTCAATGGAAATTTTGTCTACACACAATACAATACAATACAATTATGTTTGATACAATAAAATACAACACAACACAACACAATACCTTTCTTGTTTCTCCAAGCCACCAGCTGTGGATCTTCCTGCCTCTCCTGACCTTTGATCCCCATGAACTCCTTCAGCTTGCGGTCATGGTCGATAATTCTAATCAGTTCCTTCATTTCAGCATTGTGTTGCTGCATGTCCTTGTCTGCCTTCTCCTTCAGCAGGATCATCTTGGCTTGGGCTTCATCTCTGTGGGGGATAATTAGAAATATTGTGTTAGGTGAGATTTTGGAGATTGTGTTAGTTGAGATTTGATGTTTTTTCTGCATTGTTTTTGGTCTGTCGTTGGATTTTCTAAATATTTCAGGTTGTAAACTATTCTAAAAATGCATTCAGAATCTTAAAAATTGTTTTAACTTTTGGAGGACAGAATCTATGTATTGGGATATGTCATGGTTTCAAAGAAACCAGCCAGTAAAAGAGAACTTCAAGACTAGTTGCAAACTTGAGTTTTTCTGTGAATCAATATTTGCAGAAAATTTTAGAAACAACATGTTGAAGTGCCAAAATTTGTTAGAGTGAAAAAGATACTAATGGAAATTATAATATCTATTAATATTCTACAAACTATATGAAATTGCAAAAAAACTTTGTTATTACAGATTTTTACCTGACAACAATGGGAACAACTTGTCAAAAAGGTACGAAATTCACCCAATATTATAGAACTATCATCTCTGTGCATATCCATCTCTAATCACTAACCTGGCATCATAAGCAGACGTGGACTGCTCAACAATATCTCCAATCTCTCTCCTCAGTGTGTTCAGCTCTTTCTCCAGTTTCTTAAAAAGTCCCTCGAATCTTGCCCTTTCCACGCGCAGGCTGTCAATCTCCTCACGCAGGGAAGCATTACGAGTGAGCATCTTGTTGAATTCTTTCAAATTCTGGAAAGTTACAATTAAATTATTGGTTTATTATTAAAAGAAATGCATTGTTGCAGAAAGCCTAATTGCTGCCCTTCTGGCCATGACCCAATCACTGAAAATAAAAAGCCAATTTTAATTTGAATTCTCCATATCATTGAGTCACTGGTAATTTAATAATATATTGAGTGATTCTGCTCCATAATATTTTTTCAGTATGCTTAGTTACACCATGGGAGTTCAATGTGCCACGCCCAACCCCTGTCAATCACCTTAATCCCACCCACCCAACCTGTCACTCAACCTGTCATTCACTTACCCCATCAAGTTTGTTCTCCAGTACACGGGTCTGTTTGTGTACTTTGGCAGTATGGAGAGCTGACATGTGGACTCCGCCCATATTCTTGTGCTGGGCGTGGATCTTCCTCTCCCATTCCTTAATCTTGGCGTCCAACTCGTCGTGAAGCTGCTTCTCCTGGCCTATCTCAGCCACCTTCTCATCTGTAGAAGTCAAATACTTATGCCTTATAAAAATATCTCAGATATTGAATATTAAATAATTGTTTTCTTTTGATTTGATTCAAAATATTTATCATGTAAATCATATATCGAAAAGTGCAGTAGACCCTAGAAGCTTGTATGACGGCTCTCAGAACTGTCTAATATATAACGATTGAACATGGCTGAACATTGAGACAAAAAGAAAATGATGTCACTATATTTAAATCCATTCAATAATATTTTTGATTTGAAAATAAAAAAACCTTTTTCATGACTGAACATTCTTTATATGACTGACCTTTGGCCTCTAGCAATCCCTGCAACATGTCAGTGTTATCATCATCCACAATCTGATTGGCTCTACTTTCAGCCAATCGTAATTCCTTCAGTATTTCTTGCTTCTCACTTTCCAGCTGTTCCATCTCCGCCCTAAAAAAAATTATACTTGCACATGAATTTACTAAGATTAAAACAATTTTAACTTCATGCAAGCTTTCTCTTATGGTATCAAAACATTTAGAATTTGAACAGCAAATAAAAATACTGTAGTTTTAACACCAATAACTACTGTATTAATAGTAGCATTAACATATATATTGCATGTATGGAGCATGTACCTGGACTGTTTTATCATATAGTTATAAAGATTTTATGCGTTGTAACAAAGCAAACTATGAATTAGATGTTATGTATAGAGTTATAGCCAAATATTTGATTGGAAGAGTCCTAAAAGAAATGTAAGTCTTCAAAAGAAAAAGACAATTGGAGAGGGATGAGTCGGGGGAGGGAGTGGAGGGAGGTACTTGATTCTGGACTTCATTAAACGAAGAAGTATCTGATCCATCAAGTTTGCTTAGATAAAAATTCAAGACCAAATACTAATTGTTAATTCAAACACAATACCCCCCCCCCCCCAGGACATAAATTCACAAAAATAACTGAAATAAACAATATATCCATTTTTTGTTAACCATTTCCAGGTGTCACACCTACCTCTGTTTTCTGATGATATTCTGCGACTCCTCTGTGTATGCAGCACGGTCATTATCCATGACACGTTGCTGTCGCAGGAGCTTCTGGAGCTCTTGCTCCGCCAAACCCTCCTGGTCCACATCGCTGGCGTCTGACCCTGGGGAACGTGCTCGTGGCATGACTGGTTTCTACGTCAAAGGAATACATATATAAATATATGTAACTAGAAAAGCACTCAGAGAGTGCAGACCTTCACCAAGGCAGCTCAATAAACTTTTCTAAAGTCAATCATTCAATTATGTCATTGAATGGATTTTATGTTTACCCATTTCTGACCAAAGGTAAAAACATACAGTAATTACCCTCCTTGGTATAGTCATAATGATAAATATATTAAATATCTTATTAAATAAAGAAGTGAATTATTTTACTACAACATTTTGCAGAAAAATTTTATACATGTACAAGTAATTTCAAAGATCAAACTGATGCAGTACTGAGTACCCATTGTGAGTAATATTGCATTAAAATATATAATGAGATGATAATTAAATAATGGAAGGTTTATTTCACCATTACTTTTAAGAATTGTAAATAAGTTGTTAATTAACGAAGAAAATCTTCGCCACTCCGATATTGTCTGAGATACCTTTACATATGTCTGTGATTGTGAATCTTTTATTATACTGGCACTGCAGCGCTACACTAACCACAAATTACAAATTACGGTAAGCGAATTATATTATGCTTATGTTATCGACGTGCTATATATTTAGCAGTTTTGATGGTGTTCATAACGGAATCGTCTTACCTTTTTTTAGCTTAACTTTCAACAATATTCTTCTCAAAATGTATTACTTCAACTGCTGAGACCGTGTAAAGCTTAATGAACAGAGGTGTTTCAAGTTGCCATGAGAGATAAACAGTAGCGAAAACGAGGCTATAGTCTCAAACCTTGTTATCGTAAATATTTGAAAGAATATTACCATTTACAGGATAAAGCAAATACAAATACAATTTGTAGCTAGTATCAATTCATTGTTATAATATCATTTTCTTTTCTTGTGTAAATTATATTTTCAATTTAACAAAAAAAGCAATAGGTGATAAAAAATCAGTTTGGTAAATGGACTATCGCACCTGCCACTACCTTGCGCCCTGTGGCGCCATCTATCGACGAAGAGGGAAACAAAATGTAAAGACCAACATCAACACCTGAGCCGACGTTAAAGGGAATATAAATACATCGTTCTAGTAATAACCGAGAGACGTTTTGATTACATACGTTATAAACTCACTTAGAATATAGGTAAGAACTCACAGGGTGATGGTTATTTGGGTGGATATATATAAATATGGTCATTTTACGCCTTCAATCTTGTAATGTCGAGGTCCCCGACGAGACGAGAGGGTAATTTTTGTCAACACAAGTCACGCATGTTCTAGTTTCTGTGACTTGACTGCCTTTGTGACTTGCATATTTTCGTCCTCATCAGTTTCAATTAAGATCTAATTCCAACTTGAGATGTGTTTTTTATACGAGGATATGTAATTCATAATATTTTTATGGTGGCACAGTTCTGGTTTAGAACCGGTTTAATCACTAATTAGGCTACAATTTCTGTCTCTTGCCCAGCAGTTCACTTTATTTTCCGTACTTTTTTTACCCTGGCAAACAGAGCAGCGGGAGAAAACAGGTGTTTTTAACTGTCTCACCTTTTAAATAATGTAAAATAAACAAGGAGTTTATGGATTATGTTTTGCCATAATTGAATGAGTTATCTTGGGCTGTGCCAGAAAATCTTGGCAGAATTCCAACTCACCATAAACCATAGAATTGCATGTTTTTCTCCTACACCTGGGATATTTTTGCCAACTAGAAACATGGCATGATTCACTATTTGCCACATTACATGTACTTGTAGAAGCTTGGTAGAGTACGTTAGTGCAGACATGGGGAAACTGCCTATATCTGGCCAGTCCTATGACTGCTTTAAATGCCAGAGGACCAGCTTGATTTTTTTTATATCATCATGTATGTACCAAAGTAGACAATTTTATTATTTAATTATGAAACTGCATTACAGGATGACAAGTTACTATTAATTAAAGAATAAGCATACTGTATTAACCTAGCTCAGAACAAAATTAGTTATCATAAAGCCCCCCACCCCCATTTCCTTAGACTAACATATCAGCACTAATAAATAAAACCATTTTTACCATTACAGGATGCTGCTAAGATGAGATAACGAGAAAAACAAAATGCATGAACTTTTCGAAAAAGTTCTCACCAATAGGGACCTCTCCAAGGCAGGAGACCTGTTCTCCGTGGACAGCAAGTCCATAGTTCATGACCTGTCCATCATCCTGCAGAAACTACGGGAGATTTCGGACACCAGCGGGTACTTGGAGAATTTGAACGACCAGAGCGTGGTGGAGATCTGCATTACCAGGGTGACTTCAGCTGTCAGGTGAGTGATGTGCGTGACAGACAGACAGATGGATAAATGGACAGACGGATACAGACAAATGGACAGATAGTCAGACAGATAGACAGACAGACAGATGGATAAATGGACAGACAGACACAGACAGACATACAGATATAAATGGACAGACAGACAGATAAACAGACAGGTGGACAGACATACAGACAGATAAATGGACAGTCAGACAGACAGACAGACAGACAGACAGACTAACAGATAGGAGAGCTGCATCACCAGGGTGACTTCTGCTGTCAGGTAAGCGATGTGCGAGACAGACAGGCAGACAAACAGACAGAAAGACGGGTGATATGCATTAATAGGGTGACTTCTGCTGTGAAATGATTTTTGTGAGACAGGCAGACAGAAAGATGATCAGGCAGACAAACAGACGGACAAAGACAACTGATTGACAAATAGAGGTAGATGATGGGACAGGTTGACAGACAGGCACATAGACAGGTGGGCAGATGGAACATTAGACAGGTAGAGATTAATTATGGTTATCGTATTTAGATACCCCAAATAAAAGGCTCTTTAGTTGCTCAGAATTTGTACCAGATCAATAATAATAAAAATCCTCATGGGTCTCACTGTACAACAGATCTATATTTCAGTGAATTAATTTTTAGTCAGTCTTATCACTCAAGGCATTGCTCTTCCCTGATGTTCACTTGATCCAAGTAATTAGGTACTTGATTAAGGATCAATAATTTCAAATGAACTGAAATTAATTTGTCAGTCTTTATTTTCAGGGAGACCAGCACAGTAGAGGAACACTCACCATCTTTAATAGCCCTGTTGGAGTCCTGTTTGAAGCACGATCTGAAGCCAACCAATAAAGATGAGGATACGCCACATGCCAAGATTGCATCTGACGTGCTCAGCTGCATGTTTCTTGTAGGTATCAGAATTGCAGCAAATGTGGTCAGCTAGGCCCTTTTTACTTTTAACCAAAATTTTCATTAGCTAAGCACACCTTTTTTAATGTATAAATCTTATAATTTTCATTCATGTTTTATCAAATGATTTGTCCTATTAAAACACAATATTTTGTAGATCTGCAATAGTATTACTTTGAGTGTTTTGTTAGTTAAAGATTTCTTTAGCAGTCAGTAAGATGATATAATCTGTTATGTACATCTTGTTTTTAAACACCACTGCCATAGTATGGTCATGGAATACTCTCTGCAGGAGTGATACAATTCCCTTAAGCATAGGTTATAACAAAGTGATCACAAATATTTGACTGATTATGGAATGAATTGACCCACCAGTGATACATTTGTTTATATGTTAAAGGAAAGGATATCTTTTTTATTACAGCACTACTCCAAGCGTCCAGTCATGCAGCTGGCTATCCCTGTAGCGGTGCAGTTTCTTCAGGCGGGAAATAAAGAACTTGGTCGTAATGTATCCAGTTATTTAACACTGGCAGCCATAGACAGCCCTGACTTGCTGGCAAAACACATGAAACCAATTCTGGAGAGTGTGCTGATAGGTGGATTAGTTTGTCTGTTTATTATTATTTTTTATTTTACCTTAATACAAGATCTTAAAGGGATAATAACTCTTTGTATGAGATCTATATTTCACAATAAAAACATTGTGAATAACTCATAGAAATATAATATATTCTGTTTTACCACAAAAACGGCAGTTATAGCTATAATTCTGATATCTGAGCTCGTCTTTAGACCACTTGACCTCCATTGTTGGTTATACTCTGTTAAAATCTCTTAAGATATTTTAACAAAAAAACAAACTTTTTAGAAAAAAACCAGGGACTAACTTCGAATGTAAAAATGGATTCATTAACCNATACAATATTTGTAACTTTGGTAAGCATCAGTAGCATGACTAACCCAAAAAGGATAGTGGAAGTGTTGACTATATATATGTACTCTCTTTATATATTTTTGGGATTGGCCAATTCTCTGCTATTAATATAAATGGTGAATGTAGATATTAAAAATGCTGTTTCACCAATTAGCAACCTCAAAATTACACACACACACACACACACACACACCCCAGTAGTGGCAATCTGAGGGTTACCTTAACATTTTCCTTCCACTCCTCATTTACATTGTAGTCTTCTTCTAATGCATTGAGTAGAGAGTCTGCAGTCTGTATATTTTCTTCTACATCTTTTTGTACTTCAATAATTTGTTGATTTAACTGTTCCTCTTCATTTTCAAAGTGGACCTCACTGTTGTCCATCCTTGTCTTTGGTTTGATATACTGTAATCAGTGAAACATCTATAAAAATGAAAGAAAAATCACACTACTAGAAAATCTTTAATGCACAAAATAACTATTAATTGTATTAAAACTTTTTAGTTTTATTAGGTCTTTTGTATTGCAGTAATTAATAGGTCTCATTTGTTCTTGGCTTCATTTAGTACATAAACTTATGATAACTTAGGACAACAACATCAGTTACTGATAAAATATTCATATTTTCAATTCATACATGCATATACTCACAACATTACAGTTACTAGTACTTTATAGCTTTCAACGAGCCATGTCCACAACTGCCCAGCCTGTACTGCTTGGGACAGATCAATATTGCAGTTTACCAGTGTCCATCCATCAGCATTTGGCTCTGGTCAGTACCTGATGCCCCTGTTATAATTACATACTCTTTAGATATGAAATTTTACCCCACCAGTATATATTACAGTACAATATAATAGTAAGTCACCCAACTCCAACTTTCCCTATCTTCAGAGAGTAATTTACATATGCATCAGTGCATCTATGTGGCCAGTGGGCAGTTTAGGGTCCAGTGTAATGGCTATACCTGCCCTGGAAGGGAGATGGGCTGACTTGCAATAGTTTTTATGTTCCATGACACAATAAAGAAATGTTTGGCAATGTTCTAGGACACATTTATCTGATTTGTAGAACATTTAGTACATTTTTATGTATGTGACTATATATATAATATTGAATGAATTTTGTTTCTTATGCTCTTTCCTTGCCCTCCCCTTAAAGTTGTGCACACTTCCTCAAGCATTCCTGTGGTGTAGGTAATATCCCAGGTTATATCCCAGATGACTTTCCTCAGGCTACACAGTATAGCGTCATTAAATGAAACTATAAGTGTATTTGGTTTAAAGTCCATAAATAAATGTAACATAGTCTTCAAGTTTAACATAAATTGACAAAATATGTTATTTAAAACAGCTGTAAAGTACTTTTAAAGCTCTTACAGGGGAAGTAATTTTATGCACCACATACAGGTGAATTGGGAATGTGATACAACCGATAAGCAATGTCATTTGTAAATTTTATTTCCAACTTGGACAAAATTACATAACTTATACTGCAGAAATTAGCTTATAACACGATAAGCCATGTTGCCAAAAGATGTTGTGCCATTTATAAATATGTATTGATAGTTACGAGTATCCCAAAATAGTAATCTAGCGATGATGTCACCCTATTTATTTCTGCGATAAGTTTGCTATGGCTTTTTAAATCTTGAAATTAAAATGCATCAAGCACAAAACTGACTTCACAGTAACTGCTCATAGTTAATCAACTTTAATACGAGTCCAATGTAATTTGGTGCATAAGGGAAACTTTTACAAAATGATGAAAAGAAAAATTAGTGGCATACACAGATGTAGATTTTTAATTACCTGATATCCAGCTAACTTTACAACTGTAGGTCAGAGTTTCTGTCACATGAAGTTCACAAATGACCACTGCAGTGTGTCACAGAGAACAACAACTGTGACAGGTAAATATTGGAGTGAAAAGAATTACTGTGCTGCTTTCTCTATTGATTTTCTCTCATTCTTCTGTGTCAATTGCCCCTGCTTTGCTCAGTCAATTGATTTCTGGACTTGAATTGTAATCTTATAGTTCTCAGTCTTCGGGGCGTGTGCAGGACTTTTACACTGTGGTATATTAGGAAAATTTAGCTGTTGACATAATCCACACTTTTGAGTGAGACACTATTGGATAGTGTCAGCTAGTGGAGGTTTGGTGCTCTCTGAAGAAAGGTTACAGGGTATTTTGAAATTAAAAGTGCCCCGTTGGATGATCCCATGCTTATTATTATGGCATCTGAACATGCATATTAAATATTGTGCAATTATTAGGTACGAGTGTGCAGTCTTAGAAATTCATAAATACAGGTAGTTCTTTAGCAGTTACACAATTTTTTCTTGAGTGAAAAAAAATGGTGTAATTAATTCTGAGAAATTAATATAAATGGCAAATACAAGAATACAAGTAAAAGATTTAGCACTTAATTGGTTAACCTCATATCTAAATGATCGAACACAAAAGGTGTCAATTGAGTCGTTGCTATCAGAGCCCACTATTTTAGAGTATGGTGTCCCTCAGGGGTCTGTGCTAGGTCCATTGCTCTTTTCATTGTATATGCTACCAATAGAAGACATTATAGTTAAACATGGTCTCAACACTGTCATTTTTGCTGATGACACTCAAATTTATGTCACAAGTGAAAGTAATCGCTCCATGGCTATCACCTCAATAGAAACTTGTCTAGTTGAGATCCGAAATTGGATGAAAACAAACATGCTAGCACTAAATGATGGAAAAACTGAACTTATATGGTTTACATCAAGGTCTAAGTCAGACAGGGGAAATGCAATGAAATCTGATATTTGTATCGGTGGTGTCAACATCAATCCATCTAGCTATGTGAAAGATTTAGGTGTCACCTTTGATCAGTATGCAACTATGGATAGACGGATCTCTGAAATTTGCAAATCGGCATCATACTCACTTTGGCGAATTAGTAAGATACGTGACTTACTGGACAAAACTTCAACTGAAAAACTAGTCCATGCTTTCATTACTTCTAAGCTTGATTATTGCAACAGTCTCTTATATGGTTTAGGCAAAAATCATCTGAACAAACTTCAATTAATTCAAAATTCTGCAGCTAGGCTGGTAACTAAAATGGGATGGAATAGCCGAGAGCATATAACACCTGTTTTGATGGAACTTCACTGGCTTCCAGTAAGAGAGAGAATTTTATTTAAAATTTTATGTGTCATTTTTAAAGCAGTCACTGAGAATAAACCACTTTATATCTCAGAACTTATGAAGCAACATCAGCATGGAAGAGTTACCAGGTCTTCAACTTTTAGTCATTTACTTTTAGAACACAGTGTCTTAGAGAAAAAAGCTGGTAAATTTTACGGTGAAAGGGCATTTATGATATATGCACCCAAAGTTTGGAACACTTTACCCTCTGAAATACGAGCAGCAGGTGACATAGATACTTTTAAAAAGCTTTTGAAAACTCATATTTTTAGAATAGCCTATCAGTAGCTATCATATAGTTAATTTTAGTTTTTAATAAGGTGTACTGTAATTTTATGATTAATTTTAAATGTTGTCACTTTAGGTTCTTATCATTTTAGAATATGAATAATTGGTTCTTTAAATTAGTTCTTAGTCCTTTAAAATTGTAATGTGTTCTTATATTAGTATTGTGTTATTTAGCTCTTTTAAGTGAATGTTGTAAGGCGCATTGAGATTTTTAATGGAATGCGCCATAGAAAAATAAATTATTATTATTATTATTATTCATTGGTTAGTATGGGAAAATTGTTGTTTACTCCAGGAAAGTTCATTTTTTGGCTGAAACGAAGAGTTATTATCCCCTTAACTGCTCAGAAAATCAATCTTTTATGTTTTATTTGAAAGAGAATAATTGATAAAAATCATTCATTAGGACATGAGTATTTTACTTGAATTAATCAGCAGATAAATGCAGTAATTAATTTTCATTTAAAATATTGTACTTATTTTAAGCTTCTTTCTTCTTGCGGAACTTACATCTATATCTATTTATCTGTATCTATTTGAAAAAAAAATAGACTTCACATAAGTAATGTAAAACAGTATTAAGTCTTTCAAAGTTTTCAGCTTGGGCAGTGCTGTAAAGTTTTTCCACTTTAATACCAGTGAAGTGAATTTCAATGTGGAAGACAGTATTTGATAAATTATAACATTTGATAAAAATGGTTATTTATGTTGCAGGTAACCATGGCCTTATCCGCATCCTTCCACAGATTTATAAACAAAACAAAGACCCAGTCCATGACATGCTGAGTGATTTGGTTGATCTTCTTCCTGACTGTGATACCCCTGCTGCTACTGATGTGACCCCCGCACCAACAAATGGAAGTGAGGCTACTTCCACTCCTGAGAACTCTGAGTTGCTAGAGAAAAATAGTCTGCTTCATCTCTTTGGATTGGTTGCCAAACATAAACCATCTGTGAGTTCAAAAATACTGTACAGTATCTTTTGGTGGTGCTTAGTAGTTGAATTTTACCACATGAATTCCATTTATGCCTGATACAGTAACTGAATCTATTCAGTCATAAAGTGCTCTTGTAATTTTTAAGTTGATACTAGACATAAAAACTTATTTACAAATTTAGAAAATGAACATTAAGCATTTCAAATTAATATTTCATTGATTTGGGATAGCTTGTGCTTAACTTTCTGACTTTCTAAAAAGCGACTGTGGCTTAATTAAAATGGTCGCAACTATCAGTAAAAATTAGATAGTAATGTTAAACATATGGCTGGTGCCTTGAACAATTGGACAATTTCACTTGCATTTTCATACACTTTGATGTGTTCATCTTTTAGTTCAAAGTCTGTTTTATATCATTGTCAATTTTTCTTTACTAATCCTGTAAGTTTCACCACTTTAGGGCACAGTCTATTCTTAGGAAGTCTGTATTTAATTGCTGACTTTAAAATTACATTTAGAGATTGGTCTTGATTTTATACTTTACCTCTGAAATTTCAGCTACTAGAACCTCATCTCTCTAAACTTGTGCCGCACTTGTCGTCAACAGCAACAGTTGCCATGGTGATACAGTTACTGTTAGATGTGGCACTGAACAACGCAGAACCTTTCATTCCTCACATGGCTAAAGTGAAGGTCACGGCACAGCAACATCCCACATTTATATGTCAAGTTATTCAAATAACAGGAGCAGTGGGGAGACTTTCAGAGGTAATTTATATCATAATTCTTCAAGCATTGATCTTGGATGGGAAATTGCAACAAAGTAGTGTACTGGTAATTATATGGGGTATAAACTTGTTATAGAGATATTGAATTATGTAATGTTTCTTCTCATAAGCTATACATACAGAGAGAGAGGGTGTTCCCATTGGTTAAAAAAAGGTGTGCACTGAAAACAATTTTAGTACAGTTACCAAAATTTGCAGTTCGTATAATGCTGCTCAGTTTTCTATTCCTTGTAAAACTGTGGTCTTTTATTTAATTGATAGAATTTCAGGTTACCGTCAGTCATTATTAATGATTATTGATCTTTATTTATCTATTGCATTATATGAAAACTTAAGCCATAATTATTGGAACATTTAAATTTTATTGAAAAGCAGAAACATCATTACAGTCAAAATCATATTTTCATTTCCCTTCACAGACATATTTAGAAAAATGAATTTGATGACTGATATTTTTGCAGTTACACTGTGACATTAATATTTCTATGTACAACTGCTACACTTTTATTTCTGATCAGTCTTCAAAGGAAATATAGCTGGTTTGTCAAATGCAATCTCCTGCTCCAATAAAAATGTTGGAATAAAAGAAGAAAATAGCAAACAAAATAAGTAAAAGAATAAGTAAATAATTGAAAAGAGAAATTGTAAGATCATTATTTGTAAAGAAATTCAAATTTTACTGCAGACTACAGAACCATTTGGTGTACAGACTTTCATCTTATTTGAAATATATTTTTGCAGTTATATTAAGTATCATAACTGTTTTCAAATACAGTTGATAACAAATGAAGGATTTAAGTTATGATACAAGAAGTAATATTAATTGTTCTGGTGTCACAGATAATTTTCTGATTCGCGTCATTATTACACATTAAATAGCCTTCAAATGAACATCTTTCAACATATTTTACTTTACCGTATTACTTAAATTTTCCTTTCCGTCATTTCTTACATCTTTACTTGCACTTATAAGAATTTCACCAACTGCAGTTGAAATAAAAAATTGTACATTTTTCAGTCTTTTACATGTATCAATGAAACACCATTTTCTTTTCCTTGCACTATCTACAATACATTCTTTTTCATTCTTTTTGAAAATGAAACTGTTAATTCAATTAGCCCAATTAACATCAAATGAAGGATATTAGTTATGATACAAGAACAAATGTTAATTGTTCCTGGTGTCACAGATAATTTTCTTATCATTACACATTGAATAGCCTTTAGATGAACATCTTTCAACATGTTTTACATTGCAGTATTCCTTACATTTTCCTTTCTGTCATTTCTTTCATCTTCAGTTTTACTTATCAGCATTTAATCATCTGCTGATTAAAGAATAATTATAGTCTGTTATAAAAAAAATGCCCTTTGTTGCATGCACTTCATGCAATACAAAATTTTTTCATTCTATTTGAAAATAAAACAATAATCAACAGCTGAGTATCTGTCAATGCTGAATTTATGTTTATGTATATACCATTTTCTTTAAAATATACCTGAAAAACTACATAATGTTCAGTTTCTAATTCAAGTGCATGTCATTGTTCCAAGTATTGGAATACTGTCAGTATCCCTATCCTTTGAGTCACAGCCAGATCTCCATCCTGGTTGATGGTACATGCCCATGGTCCATATAGTCCATCAGCTTCAGTTGCTATGTACTGGATGAACTTCCCATCTGGGGATACAAGGTGTATACAGTGGTTATCATGATCTGTGACCAGTATGTTGTCATATGCATCAACACAGACACCAAAGGGTCTACTTAACTTGTTATCAGGTCCTGTGTATTGATACAGTAGGTCACCAGATGGGGTTAGGATGTGAAGTTTGTTTGGTGATTCATCACTTACAACAAGGCACCCATTGCTCATATATGCCACTCTATTTGGTGATAGAAACAACTGTTTTCCATCTTTGTCCTTTATCACTTTAGTTAAAGTTATTTTCCCTTTGATATCAATACTGAACACACTCACAGACTTTTCTCTGTCACCCTGTGCCACAGCAATCTTAGTACAGTTGTCATTGAGAGCCACGCCCCTTGGGCTGTGAACATCAACAGTTTGCTGTACTTTCCACTGTGGTGACAGGATGAACAGTTTGTTAATTTCCACATCAGACAGAACCATTCTTCCATCAGGGAAGTGACAGATCCCTACTGGCCATTTCAGCTGTGTGTCTGAGACACTGGTGATCTCTTTCCTCAACCTACCAGCTGAACTAAGAACCATGACCTTGTTGTTGATGCAACTAGTAGTAACGTACTCCTTGTTTGGACTCACTGAAATGTCCACTGGTATCATGTCAGTGTCAAACTCCAGCATACATTCAGCCTGTGGTTTGAACTTGGGCAAAGCTGGTTGTCTAGATATCTGCACATTCCCCAGGCCAGCCCCACTGGATATCTCTTGGTCCACTTTTGTCGTAGTTGAAAGTTTGAGGTTCAGTTCTTCAGGAATTTCCTCCACAACTGAAGTGGACTGTAGCTCATCTAGTTTCTGTCCAAGTTGGTGTTGTAACATGAGGACATCTGTGGGGGCACCATGCTGAAGGATGTTCTTAACTACATCTGTTGTGGTTTTGATAGAGGAGCAAGTGGCACTGCAGTTATTGCAGGAAGCTCGTAAATTATTTCTGTGAGCACTGGTAGTTTTATGAAGCTCCTGGAGTAAGGTTTTCTCTCGTTGGTCTACAATTTGACGTAGATGAGCTGCGCGAGCTTTTATCTGCAGCTGAACAGAGCTTTCATTCTCTTGGAGTTTTGCCAATGTTGCATCAATTTTAACCAATGTTTTCTCACCTTTAGCTAATTTTCTCTCAATCACATAAAATTTTGTCTGCATTTGTGGCTTAACCATCTCTGCAGCTTTTTCAAAGGAGATAAGTTTGTGACCATCATGGTGTAGATCTCTGCAGTCACGACAAATGGGGACATTGCAGTCTGAACAAAAGTATCTTATCACTTCATCCTTGTGCTCTGGGCAGAAAATCTTTTGCTGCTCTTGGATCTCTTTTTGGTATTCTTTGCTCTGTAGCTGTTGGAAAGTGAGCACTTTATGATCTTTTGTTAACTTGGTACCACAATGTAATACGGAACACCTCTCACATAGGTAGTCATGGCAGTTGATACATTTTGATGTTGCCACAGTTTCAGTTTGTGAAGTTAAGGCACAAAAGCCACACTTTTTGTTATACGTTGGCTGGAGCACAGTGTCCTGCAAACTTTCAATGAAGAAATTGTGAGTGAAGCCCTCAAGTCCATCTTTAGGTACTTCAGTTTCTTTCTGACACATTGGACATCTGAATTTACTTCCTGATGTCAAGTCAGGTTTATAAGTCCTCAGACAACCCTTACAAAATGTATGCCTACATGGTAAATCTGTTGGGTCCTTATACTCCTCAAGGCACAAAGAACAGCTCACAAAGTAGTTCACAGTTCTTAAACTTTCTGCTTGTGGACTCTCAGTTGCCATTTTTCTCTTTGATTGTCTTCAGGGTGTGGTTCAATATAAGTTCCAAAGTTGTTGTCATGCGCAGATGTCACTTAGTTCACCTGATTTGACCTAGTTCTTGTCTATAACCTGGCTGTATAGGATTTGGGTCAGCCTTTTTTTCTGATGTTGACAGTATTCATGCTATTGGTTTTAGATTATAACTAATACTGGGCCTAATGGGAATTTGTATTTATTGTGAAAATATGTTGACAATTTTCTGTCATGTGAGTGAAAGAGCTATGGTATGAAATGCTAGTTAAGCTACAGATATTGTTGTTAATAGTAATATGCTGGGAGATGGGGTGGGAGGGGTAGTAAAAGAAGTCTACTATGTTCAGTGATATATATTGTGCAAGCACTGGTAAATCTACAGATAGTGTGGAGGTATATGGTGTATTTGTCTTATGTAAGGAGACAGTCAGGGGGTAGGTGTGTAGTAAGAGAAGTCAGCTGTTTTCAGTGATATATTGTGTAAATCTACAGATAGTGTGGAGGTATATTGTTTACATATCTTGATAGAAGAGTTTTAAAAGTAGATCTTGTCAACCAATTTTCATCCAAAAAAAAAAAAAAAAAAAAAGAATAAATCAGAATGTAAGACAAAAAAGAAATGAAGGAGAATATATAGTGCAGTAACTACAATATAATGTTTTAAGACCCCGTCTGAAGTTTTATCTGAGCATTCCTAGGTGTACACGTATATCCCTGAGAGAGAGAGAGAGAGATTTGCACTCTAAGATTACTTCTCTCATGGGGCAATTTTTTTCTACTGAATTTTGCACCAATGGTAGTTCATATATGATGCAGATACTATTCCCTATAAGATTTGGAATTTTTGGTTATTTTATAGCATGATATGATTACTCAAGTCATTGTATCATTTAAAGTTTTATTTACTAATAACTATAGTGTAACATCATTTGTTAAGTCCAAACCAAGATAAATTATTCTCAGTCAAAAAAAAAAAAAAAAAAAAATCAGGTATTTACAGCATCAAAAATTAATTTCATATCAGAAATGGTTGCAGTAAAAGGCCTCACCTTCATATTTTAAGTACAGTTACTACACTGTCATTTCAGTCTTTAAAGCCTATATTAGTTTGGTTTGATGATGGAAATGTAAATATTTAATCACAGTCAAATTTGTCATTGTTGAATTTGTGTCTATATACACTCAATTGTTTGAAATATGACAGGGCACTGCAAATTGTTCTGTTTCTAAGCATTTTAAACCATGTCATATTTCCAAGTATTGGAATACTGTCAGTATCCCTATCCTTTGAGTCACAACCAGATCTCCTTCCTGGTTGATGGTACATGCCCATGGTCCATATAGTCCATCAGCTTCAGTTGCTACGTACTGGATGAACTTCCCATCTTGGGATACAAGGTGTATACAGTTGTTATCATGATCTGAGACCAATATGTTGTGATATGCATCAACACAGACACCAAAGGGTCTACCTAACTTGTTCTCAGGT